AAAAAAAAAAAAAAAAAAGAAAAAAGAGCGCTTCATATCGTTACTGCATGCGCTCTTGGTCTTTATTCTTAAATAACATGGTACAAACTTTATTGATTTATCGACATAGAGCTTTTTCATCTAAGCTTGATTGATTGGTCTTTCTCAAGTAAACGGCTGTTTTGATTTGCCGTTTCGCTCCATCTCTCTGTATCCGTTCATCTGTCTGACTGCGTGTCTCTCTCTATCTCGCTGCAGTTGAGACTTCGCAGACTAGGATTTTGGTTTTCTAAGCTTAACGTGTTCAAAGGCTAAATTAAATACTTATTTTAGTTTCAAACTCTTTCTCTCAACATGTTTCTATTATGTCAAAAACTTAGTTTGACATGTATTATGATGTAGGCTGATGGAAGAGAAGTATTATTAGGTTTGATCTATACTTGTTTGCTGGGTTCTAAGATGCTTGGTAGCGCCATATACCCTTGGTTCTTTCATGGACGACTAATGCTGCGAATAGAGGAATACCTATTATATGCCTTCATTGTAATGGGCCTTGCTTTGTCAGTTGTTGCTTATGATTATCAGGTGTGCAGCTATCTAATCATTCATTACTTGGAGATCCACTTGTTGTACCCTCTTGCTTTAATATTCGAGTCTAAGATCTAAATGTTTTATTGTCAGGAAATTGGAGTTCTTGTGTCACTTTTCTGCATATTTCATGCTTGTGAGGGTTTGATTTCGCCATCTCTCGCCAGATTGAGAACCATGTACACCCATTACTGCTCTCTTTTTTTACAATAAGATCTTTATTCTTACAAAAGGATATTTATCTTCGTTTAATAGGGTTATTTGTTTGGATAATGATAAAATTGAGATTTGACATGATAACATAGTTTAAAATGGCGACGCCATGGCGACGCCTCGAGGCGAGGCGACCGAGGCGAGGACCATATCGCCTCGCCACTGCCTGAGGCGACCCTGTTCGCGAGGCGCTCGCTTCAGGTCGCCTCGGCTCGCCTTTTCGCGTGGCGAGAGGCGCTTATGAGGCGCGCCTCGACTCCTTTCAGAGAAATTAAAGGCGCTGTCCATTTTTTTTAAAAAAAAAAGAAAAGCGTGTGCCACTTTTTGGAAGAGAATAAATTAATGCAGATTGAACGCTTTCTTCTCCATCTCCCAAATCCACGAAGCAAAAGAACTTCAGTGAAAAAGAACTAGGTTTCTACGAAAGAACTCCTTAGGCTTCTTAGATTTGAAAATTGCAGAAACCCACGGTCGACCCATCCCATTTCCGGGCTCCTCTGAACTACGGCCACCATCTCACCGCCGCCAAGACGGCCGGTGATGCGTGCCTTTTGCTTTCTTTTCCTTCTCCCTTTCTCTGTTTTCTCGTTCCCATCGCCTATCTTATTCTTTTTTTCTTTATTTTTTAACTTTATTTATGTTTAATAGTTTTGTCAATAGTCAAAGGTGACAATTTTCTCTCATTTTCTTTTACTTTACACTTTTTATTTACCTTATTACTAGTATTCACAATTAAGTTTTAGATGCTTGTAGTAATT